CGTTTGTGGTACCAACCCCTCGCATGGTTCTGAACACAAGGGATACGCTGAGCAGCACTTCGCATGCGCTGTTGTACTCAAGGCAATGTGAGTAGCAGACCGCGTGGTGGACAGGGTTACTACTAGTGATTCTGCTCTCCATCCCGCACCACTACGATGCCGAATGGGTACGACTCGCGACAACAATACGGCATGGACCAACATTCGACAGAAGCTGCATGTATCTGATACAACGCTGCTACACAAGCACGACTATGACACGACTGCCATACCACCAACACTTCGTGATCTTCACACGTGGACCAGATGCGGGTAACAGCATGCACAAATCGGACAACATAGCCACTCATCTGCACGTTACAGCACACTGTTCCAACCATTCACATCTCCAACTCCGACTTGCATCTGCCCGTCCTGGAGTTTGCCTATAAGTATGCTCCTGACGCCGCTACTGGATAGACGCTGTACTTCGTCTGTTACGGACGCCACCCGATCACATGACAACAGCTAACCATACCAGCCACAGTCCAACTGGCTTCCGATTTCATCACCATCGTCCACCATCTTGTACATCGACCACACAAAAGCACCTCTTGGACATCCAACATCAGCACACGCACTTGGCAACTCATCACTACCCTTCTCGAGACCATAATCTCGACATCTGCCATCTTCCATCCACGTTTCAACTTTGCTTCTGCGTGTCCATCCTCGTTGAAGCAAAGGCCACTTCAGTCAACTTCCGCTTCCGCCTACCAGCCACTTGGAAGTTCCATTACAGCTTCCATACCAGCTTCTTAAACCCTATCAAGACCAAACACGCTCTACACCGAATGCCAACCACTGTCGTCGCCCGTGTTCATCCACACCATGGGACAACTACGTGCTCGGACACCGTCGTCGTCAGAATGGCACTCTGGAGCTTCTTCTTTGGTGGAAGGGTTCTGATCCTTCTGAGGCTGCGTCTCTGAATTCGACATGGGTAACGCCCGTCGTCCTCTTCGCGACTACCTTGTCAAGCAGGGTGTTACGTCTACCACCCAGCTTTGAGGGGGGGAAGTGTGAGAGTACGATACCGTTACACCAATTTCCCCTTTCCATATTTCATTTCTATTTCATTCCTCTTTCACTCCTGATTCATTTGGTCTTTATCTCATCTCATTTGGTTTCCTATTCCTCATTTTCCATTATCCTTGGGTTTATCCTATTATTATGATTATATCACCGACCAGGCTCGGGATGTACTGGCGCGCTCTATCTAGCGTAATCCTGCCGTAATCCCTTAAAGCCAATAGCCTCGCGTGGCTATACGCATGGTGATTCTATTTCTAGAAGGGTCTATTCCCTTTGGATAGGATAAACCTGGTTACCTGATGTAATCTGGAAGTATAAAAGCACCTTGTACTGATTGATAGTGCAACATTGAGCAAACCTTTCCTCGGGACATTCGATCCTGTGACAGTAAGCAACAGCGAGCTGCCCAACTCGTGGTCTTCCTTTGCGTGTAGGGACTCCGCAACAGGCCTCTCGATAACCTAGGGGTCACCTTGCAGAATCCGAGTTTGCCCAGGATCCAACTCGTCCAGGTTGGGTATCCCTAAAAATTTGGATTGTTTTTGCAGGCCAAAGTTTTGACTAGCTCGGAATGTTCCACTCCTGACAATAACAGGGGGAGACATTTTTCTAGGGGTGCGAACGTTTACATTATATTTTACAAGGTGGGTCCATCCCTTACTCGAAAATTGGTTGTGAGATCATTTTGGCCTGCTTGTTCATGGACGGGTATCGATATTTCGAGTGGGACAAAAGCAGGGCTAGGTAAGAATTTCACCCCTTTTTCCTCAAAAAAGCAGTGTAATTACCGTGACTTCCAGAGGCTTGCTCCGCAATTGTCTATTTCTCATGCAAAGCACCAACCAGCCCCTGCACACCACCCAGCTCATCGTCACCCCTTCAGCCGAAGGCAGGAGGGCTAGCTCTTAGTCATGCAACTTGGTTGGTGCTCGTGACTCTGCTTGCGAGCATGGTTCCCTTATGTGATTAGATTGATCGCTGGCATGCATCCCTTCAATAAAATGCAATGCATAGTATGTATTTTTTTTAAGTGTTCACACTTTCAGAATTGTGTATTGTGAATGCGAAGCTGCTTGTAACTCAATCTTTGGCCTCGTCGAAGCTTGCTCCAACTATAGAATGGGGTTGGAGTTCATTCTTCCTCCACCCACGTTTTTCATTTTTCCCTGCTCAAGTTCAATTGAGTTCCCATCCCGCCTTTTTCGCTCCGCCACTCTGGGGAAGTTGAAAACTCTCCCTCGCGGGGAAGCACCCTCCCAGCTTCTTGCCGATATCCTTACGCATATTCAGGAAGTCATGGCCCCTCCTAGCACCTCGGCCAATCGTGCTGAAAATCCGTCCGTCGATACTCTGAATATTTCGGAACCCGAGAAAAACGCCCGCGAAATGGCGGGTGATCGCGGCAACAAGCGTTGGGCAAAGGGCGACCTCGCCCCTTCTGCCCTCGACATGTTGCTGCGCAGTGGCGAGGTCAACCAAGTTGACCTTGCTGAGCCATGCACCAGCGAGCAGCAAGCAACGCAAGTGGCGGATGGCGCGTCACCTGCAGACGCCAGCGCGCAGAAGGCGCCGAACGGCAGGGCGGACCCCTCGCGTCAGAACAAGCGAGGCTGCGGGGCGGCCTCGTCCGGGGCGCCTACACCCGCTGCCCCTTCTTTGACCAACGAGCAAGTGGCGGCACTGCTGGCGTTGTTACAGCAAAACACGCCCGTGGTTACAGCAGCTGCGACTACCATTTCTGCCTCGACTAAAATTGAAGATGCAAAAAAGGAGTCGCCGCGTCACGCTCGTCCTTCCAAGATCACCCACGCCGAGAAGGAGCTCGCCGCTACCACGCAAAACAATGCCAAGGAAGACAATGACTCCAACAACTAGGCCGGTGAGGCTCATACGCACACTAATTTTTTCGCACCCACCGAGCACCTCCCACCTCTTCCTTCCTCAAACCCCACCATCCCAGCATCATCCTTCGACAACGCCGGGGTACGCGAGCAAGCCAAGTTCCTGGAAGACCTGCAAGCGTACCTGAAGCACGCGGAGCACAAGGTGCACCACGCTGACACATCGAGCTCGCTCGAATACTTCGATGCGGCGTACGCGCTCATCGCCAAGCGCTTTGAGCTCCTCCATGTCGCCGACGCCTCCGACTTCAAGGCGGCACACCGCTTCAAGCTCTACCAAGAGAAGAGTGTCCTCACCTCACGCCCCTTTAAGCAAGCAGTTACAAGCCTTGCGGCAATGAAACGCGCGCAAGGCTCCTATGGCTTTAGCCATCCCGTTGGAGGCCGCGGCCCTGTGGGCATTGGAGGAAAGGTCGGCCCTCCACCGAGCGGTGCCCAGAGGGGCTTCTGAGGCACTTGCTTTTGCTGGGGCCAGCCGGGCCACACGGCAAACAAGTGCTCTGGAAATGGGAGCGGGTCACAAGGGCCCGCACCCGTTGTGTGAACAGTAAATGAGGATTTTATGTTATTATTTTGTGGACCTCAGAGTAGGTGCCACTGCACCATGGGGTGCTTAGGGCCGCTGGCCATTCCCTCGGTGGGAATTAGAATGAAAAGACCGCTGGCCAAACCCGATAGAGGGTATGAGTATAGGCCATGGGCCAAGCCCCAAGGGGGGAGAAAGCATTTTTTTATCCTACCTCGGTAGTGGCACCCTTGGTGGTGCCGGTTCTTTTCGTTTCATCATCTTTTTGAAAGATCGAATCCCTGTTGGGTAGTGGCCAAGGCTTGAGGCCTAAGACTCGAAGCTCATGGGCCAAGCATTTCAGTTCTTGTTGATCTCTTTTTTTAGAATATTTTTGAGAACCCCAATCTGAAAAAAGGCCTCACAAGGTCTTGGGACCACACAAGGCAGCTCCGTTTTTGGAGCATCGGAACCTATCATAGCTGCCCTAGCTACTCCAAGCCTAACCTAGAAGTAGGCACGACCAATAATGGGTGCGGCCGCATCAAGGCGCATGAAACCAAGCACTTTGTTGGGCCTAAAATGTCTAGCGCGAGGTACATAACTAGCCTTAGCTTCCGTCCCATCACATGCTCTTTGACTAGCCATTGGAGGGACTTGGCTTACTGGAACATGCGATGCTTCACAAGAGAAAGATGGTGCAAGCGAGAGAGAGAGAGAGAGAGAGAGAGAGAGAGAGAGAGAGAGAGAGAGAGAGAGAGAGAGAGAGAGAGAGAGAGAGATAGAGAGAGAGAGAGAGAGAGAGGGACAGAGAGAGAGAGATAGAGTGAGAGAGAGAGAGAGAGAGCGAGAGAGAGAGAGAGAGAAAGAAATAGAGAGAGAGAGAGAGACAAAGAGAGAGAGTGAGAGAGAGAGAGAGAGAGTGAGAGAGAGAGAGAGCGAGAGAGAGAGAGAGAAAGAAATAGAGAGAGAGAGAGAGAGAGAGAGAGAGAGAGAGAGAGAGAGAGAGAGAGAGAGAGAGAGAGAGAGAGAGAGAGAGAGAGAGCCCGAACGTGAGAAAGCAACATCGAAAGTGCGTGCGCAGTGGCGCAGCATGTGACCGGCTGCTGGGCCAGATACACATTGCCCTAGTCCCTTACATTCATATCGTATCAAGCACCGGCCTTCATGGACACATCCATGGCGTTTTTTTTTTTTTTTTTTTTTTTTTTTTTTTTTTTTTTTTTTTTTGTATGCTCACGATCACGTTTGGTGGACGTCGCGCTCACTCTGCCAAGCATTTACAAACCTTATCCCATTTTTTTGTTGGATGCATAACCTTACGGGGCCTCGTGATCCCTTTGAATACTCAGTGACGGACCCAACTATGCTCGGGCGCCTGCGAGACGCACTACCCTGGTAGCGTTCGTGGTACCCTAGTAGCTTGATCATATCAGTCATTGACAGAGGCTACTGGATGCCTTGGAAACAAGGGCCCCCACAACCTTTTCGGAGCACCAATCATGCAAGGGCCCAGATCATGAGGCATTTATGACGTCCGACATCGCGGATCTCCTCCAAAGCGACGTCGCAGTAAAGGTGCCAGAAACAACGCTCATATGCGTCAGCCCTCTCAAAGTAGTAGAACAGCGCGACAAATTTCGCCTCATCCTCGATCTGCTCAAGGTCAACCAGGAGCTGCAAATTCCCAAATTCAAGTACGAGGGACTCAATCGCGTCGCCGAGTTGGCGCGTGCCGGCGATTGGATGTTTTCAATCGACCTGAAGTCTGGCTATCACCACGTCGACATTCACCCGTCGTGTTGGAAGTTCCTGGGTTTCCAATTTGGTGGGCACTCATACTGCTTCCGCTCCCTTCCGTTCGGACTGGCTACAGCACCATTCATCTTCACGCAGTTGATCAAGCAGCTTGCGCGCCGCTGGAGAACAACAGAAGTGCGTGTCATACCGTATGTGGACAATATCCTCTTCCTTTGTCATTCGGAAGCCGACGCCCAAGAAACTTGCAACCACATTATAGGCGATCTTCGCAATGCGGGCCTTCGCAACACCAAGAAATCCCACCTTCAACCAACCCAGTGCTTGCGTTTCCTGGGCTTGGAACTCAATACCGAAGTCGACCACTTCTCTGTGGGTCCAGAACGGCGTGGCACACTGCAGGCTACTATCCAGTCGCTCCTGGAAGCCGAATGCAGCCAGTCCAAGGTCCCCGTCCGGCACATGACGGGGGTTACAAGCATGCTTGCTTCAATGGCTCTTGCACTCGGGGCCACTGCTAGGGCATTCAGCCACGCCTCGAGTTGGAGATCTGGTCAAACCAAGTTTGACCACTTCAACGGTGCCCCATTTCATGTGCGCTGTAGCTACGATACTGTAATTCACGTCGATGCGAGCAGCCATAACTGGGGGCTACTCTCAACATGTTCTCTAGCAACCTTTGTGAAGCCAGCATGAACATGCCCCCCGCTTTGCGACACACGTCCAGTACCCGTCAAGAGATTGAAGGGCTTCTATGGGCACTGCATACATACAGCAACCTACTCCGAAACAAGCATGTGCTCGTGCGCGTGGATAATCAGGGAGTTTTCTTCATTTTGAAGAAGGGTGGCTCATACAGCCCCGATCTCACCATCGCTTACAAGGAGATCATTCGCACATGTACTACCCACCGAGTCTGCCTTATGATGTAGTGGATCCCTCGCGAACTC